TGTGCTATAAACAAGATACAATTCTTATTATACATTGCAATCTTAAAACCAATTTGCTGAATGTGCAAGTGTGTTCCCTCAGGTCCAAACAAATGGCTAAAGTGAGCCAGTATTCTGTAGATCAAAGGCCATTGTGACTTTGCTGGTGAAAAGAAAGAAAGCAGAAGTGCTTTAGCCTTTATTAGCCTCACTCAGCGTTTAGTACCTGATGCCAAAAATTTGATGTAGTTACATATATATAGTTTTTTAATAAATACATATTTCTCTCCATACAATCTGCAGGCTACTCCATCCCAGTTCTAGCGGATAAGTGCTCACATGATTTGCCCTAAAAATGCCAGTAAAGATATATGATTTCTAAGACCTGCATTCCTACTCTTTTCATCTTTGATCAGAGGGTTAGATTTTCCTTTCATTATTATTATCTAAAAAAAAAAAAACAAAAACAAGTCTTTCTAAATTTGTGACAGCTAGTCACTATGCCAATAATGTGGCACTTGGAATAAATTTCTACTGAACACTGAAAAAGGCATGCAAATAAACATGAAGTAATTTAATATATATACTAACACAGCATCCTCTCCACATCCTGATTCTTTAAAAGAGGGTATAATCAGAATATTATCAGAGCTGACGATCAAAAAAGTCAATGCTGACAAAATCTACCTGCTCTAATATCTCGGCAAAATTATCACAAATCAATCCTCAAGTACTATTTTTTCCCTAGAGTAAAATTTTTTAAAACATCATAATTGACGTAATTTAGCCAGTGATAACGATTTTCCCATTTGCTAGTCTACTTACTCCTCTATAGTTGTTGTTCTTCTGAAAAACAACACTAAAGCTTGCTATTCAACTGGAGACACATTATTACATTCCAGTCCTCTAGAATTCGCCACGAAAATTGCAGCTTGACCACGTAAGCGATTTGTCAGGCTCTGATGTCCCAGTGTTCACTACATAAAGTTTAGTGATAAACAAACTGCCTAGATAATGAAACTGACAATAAAACGGCATGTAGTCCTTTAGTACAAAGGAAGACATATCCAGAGAATAAACACACAGCTTTGCAACTACGTATTTGCCAAAAGCAGCAGAATGGAAGATTAAACCCTATTTTTAATGCTACTGGATTAAGGGAAAATAAAATTAAAAAAAAAAAAAAGGCCTCTGGCACCCGAGACAGCAAGATCTAAAGTCAAACGAAGAAACTTAAGAGTTGCACTGACAAAGGGACTTAGGTACTTCGCTGCTTCGTGGTACCTGCCATACAGTCTCAGCTAAGCATCTGAGAACTCTGTACAGTGCCTAAGAGCTGTGTCTGAGGTTATGTTTCTAGCTAGGAAGGGAAGGCAGGGAGCAAGCTAAAGCCTTTCAAATTGGGCCTAATGCCACATTTGAGCCTAAGCTTGTCTTGTATCCGTACTGTTTGAACATTAAGTCTGCATCCACAAAGAAAGAGGCCCGAACTTCTTGTCAGCCTTATGCCACCCATATAAGGATCCCTACAATATATATAAGGTTTCTCAGCATTTGTAACTCAATTCCAAACAGCCCTTATAAAAGTGTACTCAGGTAGCACTGAATCATAAACATTTTGCAGATGCTGACATGGGCACTGAAAGCTTCCTTACCCATGCATCCTAAGCCCGAGAATGACATTTGCAAAAGTCAGAACAACGGGTAGAGAGGCTGGCAGAAAATGCTGTGGAGAACATCTTCATCAAGGTCTCGGTCAGCTTCTGAATATTGAAGATGTTTCACTTAAAGGGAAAGGGAAATCATCGAGGAAGAGCTGGAACTAGTCTTCACAGTGCAATAATCACATAGTAACAGCCATTCTTTGATTCTCAGTACCCACAGTCCACTGTTTTAGCTACTCCCCCAATTAGTAATAACTCAACTCCTATCCAAATCACCAGGAAAAGAGGGACCTCATATCCAACACACTGATATAAGACTCATCTCAACTGCTGATCTGCATTTACTCTAAGGCATAACTTATTAAATCTTTTTTTGGAAAGGCCTACTAGGAAAGGTCCTGCAGTGAAGAGAAGCCCAGTTTAAGAACCCTGCTAGCGCCTCAGAAGTGAGCAGTTTGCTACTGTCAGACTAGAAAGTTTGCATGAATTCATACCAGGCAGGAGAAAACACAGAAAACTTTGTGAGCAATACTTTCAGTAATTTATGTACTGCTAGGAATGGGCATAGATGAATAGTGATTTGGAAAACAGGAATTTTGGACCTAGGTACTGGAGTCCTGTCCGGGCTTTAAAGCCTACCTATAAATAGTCTTTGGAGTAACTAATTTCTTCTGAATACTTTGGAGAAAGAATTTCCAAGTGGGCTTAAAAGCGGAGCACAAAATGCCCTTTGCAAATTCCTTGAATCTAGTTCTTCCTTATGGAATGACATAATTACTTCTGCCAGTGAAACGTACAACAGTCAAAGCAAGCTGTTTTTTCTCCCCTTAAGGACCAAATTTTCTCTCTAATTTTAATGAAAGCCCATTTTGTGTGGCTATAATTACTTTCAGTTGCAACTTCTTACTTAAAATTTTCATATACTAAACTGAAGGACAGATTTCTAATCCTGGTGCAAAGAGAGGTATTTCTTAATCTTACGATCCTAAATGAGCTCGTTTCTTTTCACCTGAAAAATGTGAAGTAATGAGAAATAAGAATAAATATTAAGTAAGAATACATTCAAAAACACAAAGATATGCTTAAGTAACAATATTTGTACCTGGAATTACCTATTCCTTCAACATCAAAAAAAATCCCTAAAGCTCCCTTCTTGAACTGGCATTTTAGAGTATGATGGGGGGGAGGGGAGATTTGAAAGTTTTACTAACTGACAACATTCTGGGGTTTTCTTATCATTGAAATAAAAAAAATTAGCTCAGATGTACCTTCTAAAAATTATGGCCAAATTCCCCTTTTATATCTGAAAGGATAAACATTAAAACAGACAAAGTTGCTCAGGAATAAAGTACAGACTTCAATGCTGCTCTGTTATAAAACTAAAGTAAGGTATACAGGAATTTTACCAAGCAAGTAGAAGGAAATGTAAAAGTCTAAACGTAAAGGAAACCTACTTATCAGAGTATAAAGCATTATCATTGCTAACATTTAGATGCCTCATCGTGTAAAAGAATGGAATTCATGGTATTCCAAACAGATGTCCTGTAAGATGTTTTGCAATATAAACATATCTTAAGAAACATGACGCCAGCAGTATCACCTACATGACTTTTCCATGAAACAAATAACTAAAAATTACTTACTTTAGGAAAAACAGAGTACTCAGCAGAATCTTTAATTTTGATATTGAAAATCAACTGCCTTCTTGAAGGCAAAAGATACACAGGCTAAAAAAAAAAACCCATAGATTTCTTTGTAGAAGACTTCTTCTAAATAATGACATACAATTATTACAATCTTACCCTCTTAAGTAGCTCCTAAGATACTAATTTTAAACAGCTTAAAGACTGTGATAGTAAAATCCCTCAAGGATGTCCCTCAAGGAAATGTTTATCATCTTCTCTTTACACATGAGTAAACATCTGTCCAAGACAAGGGTAACCACTACAATGTATAGTGACGACTATAAAGCTACGTCTGGAGAGAAGCATCAAATCCAGGGAGAACACATGGCAAAATTCACAAACATTTGTTATTTCACTCTCCTGAGCATGAAAGGCCCCATTCTGCTCTTGATTTGAAGTTCCAGAAAGAAAAGAGGTGAGGCGAGGCGAGATATAAGAGACACAGCATGCAATTATTCAACAATTTTGAGAAAAAGAAAAAAATTCAGGCACCTGAGGTTTTTCCATTGCGTACATATTCCACCTTGCGCCAGGCGGAGGGGGAACCTTACCGCAACAGCGCTGACGGAATGCCATCCTTGCGACTGTGCTGCCCCACCTACTGCTGAACAGCTTTTAGACAAAGCGTTCCTCTATCTTCCACAAATAAAAATTCCTCCTGTCCAACCAGGATACTCGGACTGGCAATGAGAAATAGATTCGCTACTAAAATACACACAATCAACCACTTATATCCCTCAAAACAAATCAAACATTTCCCAAAAGGTTCAATTATAGAAGAAGAGAATGACTGACATGTTACTTCCATCACACATGGTTCATTCCAAACTAAAGTCAAAGTCGCTGAAAAGCCTTCCGGGTTAAGTAGCAAGCTGAAGATCATCAGTGTAATGGAGATTGTTCGGGTTATATTTACAAACATTTTAAACCTTTTAATAGCAATTGAGAAAATAATAGCAGAATTCAAGTATACCGTTGTTCAAAGTTTTCTGAAGCATTAGCAAAATGTCGTTAAAACAAAGATTGACATACTGTTATCTAAAACTGGAACACCAAACTCACGAATATTTTCCCTATTTCTTGAGGTACGTTTACAGGTGAACTGAGATTCATTAACACTTCTGCCCTAAATGAGGCTTTGAAAAGCATTCCAGCCATTCAGCTTTCATTTGGGAAACCCATGGATTTTTCCCGAGATAAAAGCGTGATTATCAAATTGGCTATGTTTTCAAATCTACAAGTGAAAAACTTTTACTTATTTCATTAGCTACTGTTCAATGAACTGAGTCCAATATTATAAGAAACGTTCTGGAAACGGCAGAGTAAGTTGGTTCCATTAACTATGCATACAGTACTGAACCAGGGGGATGACTACACATAGCATCCCAACACTCATTAGCAGAGCAGAACTGCTCCAACTCTGGTGTTACACTATCTACTTAAATGAATAAATTTGTATTTTTGATTACTATAAAACAACATTTAAATGAGGAAAATGTCAGTTGTGCTCTGTTTCAGAGAACAATTTCAGAAAAAACTTTGCAAAGTTTTATTATTCCTGTATTAAAAAACAGGAACAAATCGGTTCTTGGAAAAAAAAAGAGGGATGCTGCATGTACCTTAGCTTATCAAAACCTGGTCATAGTTTTTTCCACTAATATTGCTGATGTACCTGGCACTTCCTGGAACAGGAGACATCCATCACCACCCGTGGAGTTCACAACCTAAACCAAAAACAAGTTGAACAGGCTGATTAGCTTCAATGTACACAGGCCCTGTTTCAAGTTTTCAGAGGGAAAGAAAATATCTGTAAGTATTAGGAAACCAATTTTAAACGCCACCTAATTTTTGCCAATGGCCTAAAAATTTCATGCTGTTATGGCCCATTTGCAGTGGGGCACGACCATGGAGAGAAAATGCTTGTTTCATTATTACTGTTAGCAATACTCACAGAATCAAACAGAAATACAGTCTACCACCTGATCCAATTGGATTAATCAAGGAAAGACCATAAAGAATAATTGTCTAGGAATCCTTTAATTAAAACTTCTACAAACCTCCTTTCTCTCCCAACTTCCCCTTCTGGCCCTGTGGCACACTGTCAAAAGATATTCTAAAAATGATTAGACTCAAACTCCAGTGATACTCATGCAGATTGAAATTATGCCCAACTAGAAAATAAGAATTCAAAGCAAAATGAAAGCAGGACCTCTCAAGAAACATCCACGAGGAAGCCAGAGAGCCACAGGTCTAGAGACAACAGTCTTTAGTTGGTTAGACAGCTACACAATTCAGTTGAATATCTTAATACAAATTCCTTCCCTGCCTGACCATATAAAATACGCGTTGGCTGCAACAGTGTCAAATAATGTGAGCTTAAATCTCCTACACCCCAAATGAATATTCTGACTGCAAATCTGCTATTCTAGAACAGAGCATTCTTGATCAGCAACTTTATCAGAAATTTCTACATCAACAAATCTTTTGTTGAAATAACATTCGAAAGGTCTGGCTTATTAGCCTTTCACAGCATAGTTTACTCCCACTAAAAAAACTTCAATACTGAGCTGTCACAGGCTGGTGTGCATGTCACCATTAACGGTATGGAAGTAAGAAGAACTTAACTGGCAAAAAGCAGAAGAAACTCCATTCTTGGTATGAAAATCCACTTTATAGGGGAGGATTCATCATTCATTGACTAAAAATATCAAGGAAATGATGGTTTGGCAAAATACTGATTCACGTTAGGAAATTCCTTCATAGTGCAGTCAGAATCAGAGAAATGACACAGGCATGGATAAATACGTTCCTTGAGCTAACCATCACTGAACAGAAGTTCACTTATGTGACTCCAATACCTAACTTCTGTGCAGGAGGAGATAAAGGCTCTTTTACCACTGACTTAACTCTTACTGAAGAACTTCCTATTTCTCCTCACCTAGGTCTGATGGTACCAGCATATTCTCCAGAAAATTTTCTCTTCAATAATTGTGACCGTTTATGATCCAATTTTCTTCCTAGTGGGCCTAATGAAACAAAAGGTTCAGGTATCATAGTGTCTGGGGAACAGATGATGAATAGGCACTTCTAAACAGAGTGGGCTCACTTCTTGTTGTATTTTTCCACCCTTATTTTATAACCCCCAGGGAGAAATTATTCTAGTTTATGTATCTAAAATATTCTCTCAAAGCATAAGTAGCGGGGCCAAGAATTGATACGTAAACTATATAAGAAAATAACGTAACGCCACCTCGACCTTCAGCAGCTATCAAGGAGAAAAGCTTGATAGCAAACTAATGAATTAGTATCTGGCTGCTTGTGGCTAGAGCAATTTCCAGCAAGTAAACAGAAGTTTGTCTCAAAAAATTTGACGTTATTCCAACTGTGCAGTAATCAAGACCAGAAATCAGTTTTCCAGTGCAGACTGCTTTTTCAGTAGCGAGTAGAATAGATTAAAATTTCACAGTATGACCAATTCCCATTAATTTTAGTCCAGTATTTTAAAATGGTTTCCTTGAATGCCTCGGAAGTTGAGTGAATAATGGTGTAAACACATGCAGTGCTTTCACAAGTGCTTGCACAAGCAAGAAAAGAGGCAGAGAGAGGGAAAAAATCCAATTTCTAATGGAAAATATCAACTAAAAACTTCAAGTTTCAACAAGTTAGCAAAGATATAATGGTCACACACTGGAGACTATAAAGCGTGTTAGTGAGGAATATAGCAAATTAGCAAAAATGAAATCAATGTATATTGGCTTGATTAATATAGAAGAGATGCAGATGAATTTCATCACAAATGCCTCAGTTTTAGAAACAGTAAAATAATTCAAATCTCTGGATCTGAATTTCCAAATATTCAACATGGAGCTTTCCAATTTGATATAAAGCTTTTCCAAAAAAATTTTCAAGAACAGGACAGTTCTTCAGGCTCAGTCTGTCAGGACTTCCCCTAAGAAATCTGGAAAGCTTACAGCATTTCTAAACATAAGATCTAACTGGTGAAAGCCTAGTTTCTTCCCAAGCAAACTGACACATGTGAATAGTGGAAAACTGATGCTGCTGCTGAAAGCATGCAAGAGTAAAGCTATTCAGCTACAACATACGTAAAGACTCATGCCTTCCTTTTTGGTATATAAAAAGGACGATGGACGTTATCTGTTGATTTCTGACAACAGAGTCCACTTTTCTTCAGCAGTACTTAACAGTTACTGTAACAAGTATAGATACAAAACCTCAAGAACATAATTCCGGAAAAATTATCATGGGTCCTTAAATACAAAGCAGCCAGTGCTAAGATGGACATTTACACAAAAATAGTAGAAAATAAAATCTTCCCAAAAGGTGGCAGAAATAGTAAATGATGAAAGAGAAAGACATCTTAATTTTATAATCCAGGACAGGGCTCTTCATAGTTCATTGAGGACAACTGCATACACAGTTCAAACAGTAAAATAAAGGAAATTCGAATTCTCACCATAAAAGCAATAGTCAACTAAACAAAGTTTGTATATTTTTCACAGCCTAAAAAGAAAGTAACCTAAAGGAGATTCCACCGAACAACAGTTTTCCTTTCCAAGGACTCATTATATCATGCAGCGCTTGGCATCATTAAAGCTACTGAGATATGCTACGACAAAAATGAACAGAAATTACTGAAATTACATCTCGAGTAATCATGCTGCAGTCCAAGCTTTTACCACAGCTCAAAGCCTGAATGAGCTGTCTGAATTACGTTTAGGTGGTGTCAGGATTACTATAATGAAAGTCAAGTGTATCAGAGCATTTTCACGTGAAAGCTTAGGCAAGCCTGAATCAGACGCTTTGACTATGCAGTCCCAGTTGTTCAAAGCTAAAAGTCAAAGTCCTATATAACTTTTAGATTTAGAGAGGTTTTTGGGTTTTTTTCCCCCAATAGCACTAACTTTTTATTCACGCATATTTGTCAAAAACACTATCTAAAGGAGCTTTGTTAAGACCAAGTGAAGTATAAAAATTCCCTACTCAGTAAATTTATATTTCTAATTCTGTTCTCATTGCTGCATTTCTCTATCTAGATTTCATATCTCAAAATCAAAAACCAAAGTAGTGAGCAATCAATTCAACACTCTTGATTGTGAATACCAGCCATAAGCAGAAGCACTACACTGTTGTTACTTAGTCTTCATTCATTCAAATACCTCCTGCTTTGGGACTTGATATCCGAAAGCACAGGTCGGGATTCAGCTTTAACGACATGGTAAAGACCACCCTGACCAGGCAAAAAAAGAAATCCAAAACAGATGCACATAATACAAAGCCTGTCCTGCACCACCCGCAGGTGCATCAGATTCAGGCAAAGCCACAATAATCCATGCTTTCACTACAGCAAGACTCAATGAACTACTGCAGTGAGTTTTCTCCCTAAAGATTGTCTAAAAACCTATTCTTGCATACAGTACATCTGCTTGCCTGCTAGCTAAGGCAAAATGCCAGCTACCTATATAGTATGCAGCCATTTCATTGCTGACATCAAACCCCTTGTGTAGACTTTGGGGGGTGGGGGAGAAGGCTGCATTTTTTGGCTTGTAATTAAGAAAAAAAAAAGTAACCCTTTTGTATTGAGATCTCCTTCTGCATCTAGAATAGACAAATATTTTTGGTTTGAAAACAGGGTAGTTGGATACATCCATTTGAAGGGACAGGATGCTTCAGAGCAGTCCTATGGCTGATGATAAATAGCAATCACTGTTAGTACAGCTGTTAAAATCCATCTCCATTAATACCTTATCTACGTTTTGCATCCCTCACTTCCCTGCTTTCCTCCTTTCTCAATATCCTCGTTTATCATTTTTGTTTCGTTACCTCGAGTCTTCCATTGTTTTTTTCATCTGTTTTGTAACCCGGGTTTTCCAATGTTTTTGTTCTTTTCCCAGATGGCAACTCCATCATGGTTTGACCTAGCTGTTGAACTTTTTCCTTTACAGTGTCATCTACTGCATACTGCAGATACACTTAGAACTTTTACTCTTCTTTCTAAATAAGGATTTAAATATATATTTTAAAAGTGACAAATTTCTGCATCCCATTCATGCATCATGTAACTGGCAACCATTGACATTAGTTTTCTAATAGGGTTTTAAACTCTTAAGATACGAATTCTACTTTCAAAGGTCAAAACAAGTCTGGCAATTAAAACTGTGGTTATTAAAAATACGTACAGCCTACTTTCTATTATAGAAAGAACCATGTTTCACATTTTTAAAAAGTCAATAAAATTCACCAATGCATACCTGCTCTCAGTGCAAACCTTAATGAAAGGATGCTTAGGAGTCATGCTTGACTCTAATGCTGTTAATGGCCCAGTTCCAAGAACACGGATCCTGTTCTTTACTCTCCTATGACCTCTGTATTTTACATAGTCTCCTATCTATGATCAGTAATTTATAACTAATAATCAGTTATTTAAAAAACTATTTTACATGCAATGAAATTAAACAGGATGTGTATCAAAGCTACATGGAAAACCTGAAAGAACGCACCACTTGTGCTGTTACCACACACAACTTGGAATACAAGCGGTTTTAATAGTAAGTGGTATCACCTTCCACAGTTCAGCTCTATGTGAGTAATGAGGAAATCGCCAAAATGCATTGCCATTTTTCACAACTATGTAGAAGAGTTACATAATGATTCCCCAAAGCAGTCCTTCTGAGCGTACTATAGGGACCAAAAAAACTCCAGG